GCTCTCTTTCTCTTTCTCTTGACCCTTGTTTTTTTTTCCCCTGGCACCAGATAAACTCCCCTTGAGCTCTGCCCAGAGAGTGCCAGCCAGCACACACGACGATGGCTTTTAGTCCAACTTTTATTTGGAAAAAAAATAATAATAAATCAACCATGGATGGAGAGTTTCCGAAAGCACACGCATACATACACACTTACACACGCACGCACACGCTCACATCACTACAGGCACAGGTCCCTGAAGAAAAAAGTCTTCCTTTTTCAGTGGCAGTAGTAGTAGTAGTAATAGTAGCCGTCTTTTGTGTGGGTTTCCAGCTCGGATCTCTTTCCTTCGAGCAGATCCCCCGGCAGGATCAAGTGTTGGCAGGATAGACCTACCCCCCCCCCCACGAGGCACCCCCCTCTCTCTCTATATATACATATATTATATGTATATGTGATCAACAACATCTTGCCTGATTGAAGATAGATATATATATATATATTTCTGGGGGAGAGAATCGACTAGTTCAAACAGATAAGCATACATCAAGTGGATTGGTTTAAACAGTTCTTTCTTTTTTAAAAAAAGATAAATAATTTAATCCTCTTTTGTACTACTCCGGATTAACCCGGAGTAGTACCACCTTGCCACTCCTGACTTTTGGAAAGGCTGCACACGTGCACATTGAGGAGCCTTTCCTTAGGTCCAAAGCTAGGCAAGAATTTGGGAGTCAGTGCTATTAAGATCACAATTCTCAAACTAGTTAAGCCTCCAGTGCAATGATGTAACTCTGGGCCTGAACAGACTGCCAGAAATAATTCATCTTGAGACCACTTTAACTGCCCTGGCTCAGTGCTAGGGAATCATGGGAATTGTAGCTTTTTTCTGAGACATTGAGCTTCCTCCATCAGAGAGCTCTGGTGCCACAATAAACTACAGTTCCCATGATTCCCTACCCTAACCCTAACCCTAACCCTAAAAGTGGACTCAATTTGCACTATTTCTGGCAGTCTGCAACCCCCTGAGCCTTCTCCATCAGATTGCTCCGGTGCCACAATAAACTACGTTTCCAGTGATTCCCTAGCACTGAGCCAGGGCAGTTAAAGTGATCTCAAACTGGATTATTTCTGGCAGTCTGTTCAGGCCCTCTGTCGAAAATTACAAATCCTATACACGTAAATTGACAGGTGTGAGACACTACAGAATACACGTGTCGATTCCTCTCCTAGGCTGGGACACTACTTCAAGAGCAGCTGCTAGGAGCCCCTGCTCATCAAAGAATGGGGAATCCTGCCTTCCGGATGTTGCTGGACTCCAACTCCCATCATCCCCAACCATTGACAGTGCTGGCTTGAGGTGATGGGAATCAGAGCCCATCCCGTTGTGGTACGCTCATGCACCTCAGATAGAGACTCATCAGCTGTAATGTGGTCCAAGGGGGTTAGGGAAACCTCCCTGAGCCTACGTGTCGACGGCCAGATCGTGTGAATCCCTTTAAATGACACGTGATCCCGAGTCTGGTTGTTTCCCAGACCGGATTCTCTCCGTGCACAAACCTACTAGTCCGACTCAGTTTATTTGGAATTGAGGCTCCATCATCCAAATAGGTTGAGCCTCTAAGGGCCTGAACAGACTGCCAGAAATAATGCAGCTTGAGGCCACTTTAACTGCCCTGACTCAGTGCTAGGGAATCATGGGAACTGTAGTTTATTGTGGCACCAGAGCTCTCTGATGGAGAAGGCTCAATGTCTCAGAAAAAAACTACAACTCCCATGATTCCCTAGCACTGAGCCAGGGCAGTTAGAGTGGTCTCAAGATGGATTATTTCTGGCAGTCTGTTCAGGCCCTAAGTAAAAAATGCAGAGGACTGTAGGTTGAAGCGTACAGGTTGTTGTTTCTGGAGATGTAAACGGATCTAGGTTTAATCTGAAGTTCATGGGGGGGGGGGTTTACTCTCATGTAAGGGTGCATCGACACTATAGAAATAATGCAGTTTGACACCACTTTACCTGCCAAGGCTCCATCCTACAGAATCTTGGGATTTGTAGCTTTGCGAGGCACCAGCACTCTTTGGCAGACAAGGTTAAAGACCTTGTCAAACCACGAATCCCAGGCTTCCATAGAATGGAGCTACAGCACTTCAAGCGGTGTCCAACTGCATTATTTGTACAGTGTAGACGCCCCTTTGTGTACCTGGAACTACCGCCTCGACTCCACTAAAATCCCCCTCCGGCCTTACCTCTGGTGCATCCGGGTTACTAAAGGCACAGGAGCCTTATCACTAAAAAAAGCTGGCCACCCGGCTTAAGGAGTCCCATAGAGCTTTTCACTGGCTTGAGAAGTCGCAGTCTTAGGCTGCAATCCTAAATAGGCTTACTCAGAAGTAAGGTCCATTGACCACAAGGGAGTTAGTGGACTTCTAGGGTTACACTGGAATAAATGGAGAGAGGGGGGGGGAATGTATCTTTCCATTTAAGATTAGAAAGGGGCTTAAAAAGCTGGATTTGAGCAGTCTTGGGAATGGCAAGAGAAGGAGGAATGTCCCAGATACGCCATAGGGAGTCCCTCTCCTTCAGCCAATCAGTAAGAAGCCCCAAAATCCACCTGGGTACAAAGGCAAACCAATCCGCTCCCCCACCTCCCCCCCTTTTTGGTTTGGGTCTCTAGGGTAGTCACTCTGGAGAGCAGGGTTCGAATCTCAGCTCAGCCCTGGAAACCCACTGGGTGAGCTCGAGCAAGTCACACTCTCTCAGCCTCAGGGGAAGGCAAAGGCAAACCCGCTCGGAACAAATCTTTCCAAGAAAACCCCATCGTAGGGTCGGAAACGACTTGAAGGCACACAACAACAACAACAACAGCAACAACAACATGAACAAAGTCCATCATTAAGGCACAGTCTTTCTGGATTCCCCCCTCCCCAAAGAAAAGTTTGAGTTGTTGTCGTGGCGGCGGCCGTCTTAACGTGCTCAGAGAGCCCCTTCTAGGCTCCAGCCTTTGATTCTCTCCCCCTATTTTTTTGGGGGGGGG